TTTTTGAACTTCGTGACAATTTGCCTGGGTCCCACTACACTATTTCTGCTGCCACCTTACTTCTATAATGCTGTTACATTCATACGGAATTACTTTTTGTCCCTGGCAACTGGACCACTGGTTTTTGCTCAGGAAACCATATGCTGGCAGAGTGTTGTCACATAATATCTGATGTCCCAAACTGGTATCTCCAGCTGCACTAAAGTGAGGATTTAAAGGGAAACTCCAGTTTTCTTGGCACTGCAGGTCCCCTCTACCTCCCACCTCCCAATCCCTGGTAGCTGAAGGGGTGGTCACTTACCTGAGACCCTGTCGATGTTCCCCAGCAGTGAGGTCCAATACCTCTCTCCAGCTATAATATCTATAAAGGTGCCTTATACCTCAATTTCTCCCACCAAAAATGAGGTATATGGTACCTTTATAGGTATCATACTTTGGACCTTATTACTGGGGATCACGGCTGGATCCTTCTCTCTCTTCTATTATTTCTGACTTCTCCTGAATATGAATCCAAGACCTCATAGACCTGTGTTTTGTCTTTTATTTTGTTTAGATATGTTTGAATATGAGGCATCAGCGCAATTTAATACATTTGTGCTTTCTATTTGTTGTACGTGACCGGAAGCTAGAAATAAAAACTTGCTTGGCACAAATAAAACCGAGACACAATTTAACATGATTGAAAGCACATTTCTGTGCTCAAATGACTTATTTAAATGAAATAGGGACAATGTGTTACGTTTGACAGATTATGTGTAAGAGTTTATTTATATTACCCTCAAGCAGAAAAGCATTACATGGCTGACATAAATAAGCATTACTTTGTAGTATTTTAGCTCTTTAGAATTAAAGAACTAGCTGTCTATTTCATACTACTGGTTCAGCAATACACCGGGTAAGTGAAAATGTTCTATATTTATGATTAGTTGCAGTATTTTGGTAGTTACTATTGTTATGTGACTCAATTTTAATGTTAGCATGCTGCATAGGACATTAGCTACGACTATGTATCTTCTAACCAAGACCAGAGTATCATTTGGGTAATCTGGACCTCAATGGCCTATTGAATGACTGGGAGTGTCTCCAACTGTCCCTGTTAATTTGCTAGCTAGCTAGCTTTTAAACTCATTTATGTGATTCACTAGTAAAATAAATTTCATCTATATCTTTAATAGCAGAATTGCTAGCAAAGCTACAGATTGGAAGAAACCTTACTTAAAAGTAGGTCCTCTCACCACCTGTCAGTTAACTCAACATAGGCCTCTATGCCAAAGAAGTGACTGAGAGGGAGAGCAGGAGAACCCTTCATCCGGTGGTCCTCATGCTTTCTGGTTTGGTTACTCCCTAGCTAGAGCTTCTTGAAGCCGGTTTATCTGTGTCATAAAGGAGGTTTGGGAAAAAATCAAAGGAGAGAGAGACACAGGTCGAGGTGGTTGCTAAAGTAATTATTATTATTTTATTTATATAGTGCCAACAAATTCTGCAGCACTTTACAGTGGGTGGACGAACAGTAGTTGTAACCAGACAAGTTGGACACACAGGAACAGAGGGGTTGAGGGCCATGCTCAATGAGCCTACATTCTAGAGGGAGTGGGGTAAAGTGACACAAAAGGTAAGGATAGTATTAGACTAGTGACAGTTGCAAGAGAGGAATCAGTCGGGAGCTATTAACAGTTTAATTGATATGCCTTTATGAAGAAGTGGGTTTTTAATGATTTTTTGAAGGAGTGGAGACTGGGTGAGCATCTAACAGAGGAGGAAAGTGAGTTCCACAGGAACGGTACAGCCCTCAAGAAGTCTTGAAGGCGAGCATCAGAGGGGGGAGTACGGATAGATGTAAGTCTTCAACAGATCATAAGGGCCTAGATGGTACGTACTTGTGTATTAGGGAAGATAGATAGGTGGGAGCAGAATTATGTAGAGATTTGAAAGCAATAGATAATGGAATATCTACTGAGCTGGGACAATGGTGGCACTGTACTTAAAGTAAGTAATGTCCTTATTTTAAAAAAATGCTTGAGGGGGGCGGGGCCTGACAGGCAAGGTGGCCGGATGTGCTTTGTGTTAGCTCCGGCTAATCCTAGCCTTAATCTCATACACAGAGCCCAAAATCTTGACCACCGGAGCACAGAACAGGCTAAAATCAAACTCATTAACATGCTCCTCGGATCCTTACCTGGATTATCGTGACCTCCTGAGAACTCACCTAGCCTGGCTCTAAGGCCTATTGAGAGCGCGGTATTGAGGGCTGAGGGAAGCGGCCGATCCCCTGGCCTGAAGACCGCACCTCGTTCAGCTTGTGGCAGCCTTAATACTCACCCCCCCCCGGACCAGTGGGGGATATCCCGGTCCCCACTGGGGCAGCTAACATCTCTGCAGACCTTGATCCGAGAAAACGCAGCTGGCGACCGGGTGGTGGAGCCAAGATGGCTGCCGCACCGAAAAGCCTGCCTGCACAAGCAAACTCTGACAGCCAGTCATGGAGAGAGCAGTTTGAGGCAAAGTTCGATGCCATCTGCAGGGCGTTGTGGGCTGCATGTAAAGCAACGCAAGCACCTCTGCAAAAGCGGCTACCTCGCAACAGCAACCTACTGACCACACTCACACCCCCTCAACTGTGCTGAAAGGCCGCCGGAAACTACCCCCTCCAACTAAACAGGACCAGAGCCGCAAGGTATCCAGGTGTCGACTAGACTGACATGCGACTGGAGGGATTAGGCGGTGGAGATGGCGCAAGAGAACACTGAGGCAGTCGCCCGCACGCCCCCGGCATCGACAGCAGGGATGCCACCCAGCTCAGAACAAGCGAGAACGGCATGACCCAGAGGCCCGCCGCTCCGGAAACCGGGTGAGCACGAAAAACTAACCGCAGAGGCTAGTCCCCGCCAAAACCTGGGACATCATCATGGAAAAATGCCGCATGGACTGTCTCAGGGTCTGGGCCAGAAGGGGGAGCCTCACTGAAGAGACTAGTCTCAGGGAAAACTGGGTCTCTCTACCTCTGGGCATTGGTTACGTGCTCTTCAACCTTACCTTCTGATTGCTTGTTAACAACGGCTTGCTGCAAACCCAACACCAGAGTATACATGAGTGCTACCAGTGGTTAATCTAAGCTTATAGTTCCACATCCTGATTTTCATTCATGTTTTATTTTAATCTACCTTGTTACATCTCAGCCAGTGCCTATTTAATATGTCTTACTACCTTTCTTGATCAAACACCCACTGGCAAGATCAACTTAAGCATGTTTAATATAAAATACCTGTGCAGTTTACTCATGTGCCACAATGATTTACAATTTGAATTGCTTATGTTTTAAATGTTCTATATAGTGGCAACACACACATGTATGTCAATCTTATGCAAAACAAAAATAAAGAATATAAAAAAATAAATAAAAAAAAATGCTTTGAATACATAATTTATTTCTATGACAAATTATATGTGCAATGCCTGTAGGGTAAATTTTTGTTAATGTGAACCTTTCATGATAGATTTCCTTTAACAATGATATCAGTGGTAACTTCATTTAGAATGTTTTCAGTAGAATTCTGAAAGTAAAAATCAGCTTGAAGATACACTAAATGCAAACCCACTCCTGTATTCACACACAAGGCACTAAATTTAAAGGAACAATATAGTGTTAGGAATACAAGCTTGTGTTCCTAACACTATAGTATTGAAATATCAGTTTAGATTCAGCCCCCCTCAGAGTGAATTTTTTAAAAAATGTTTTACTTTCATTTTCCCCAATTCAGTCACCCGCTCTTTTTGGCTGAGATCATCAATAGTGATGATCTCAGCCAGTCCGTTGCCCCATAGGGGGGCGTTGTGGGCAAAGTGTGCAGGCATAGCTATTACCGCACTGTGATGAATCAGGATTTCCTCATGAAGATGCATTAAGTCAGTATCTTTACATAGAGTGTGATTCTGACTCAAACAAAAATAAAAAAGATAGCTAAAACTCCCTCAGTTCTCCCTCAGCCTCCTCCACTGACATCCCCCCTCCTCCATGTCTAAGCTAAGGGGAGGACATGGTACCCTTCCTCCCTTCCTCCCCATCCCTCCCCCCACCTCCCACCCCTCCCCCCATTGCACCCATTGACTGTCTGTATACAACATGTAGTGCATTTTAAAGACAGACCACTAATTTGCACAGAATTAATATAAGCCACCCAGGACTCTTGTTCTGGGCTGGTTAATGATGATGAAATAACAATTAAGAAGTTGGCGTAACTCCAACACTCAAACACCGGCAGCAGAGGTGTTAAACTCTATATTTGCAGAGTTCCATAGTGAAATTCTACGTAGATACACTCCAGACACCATAACCACTTCAAGTCAGTGAAGTAGCCATATTGCTTGGAGTAACCCTTTATGGAGAGAATAATAGATTTGCTAGTACAGACTGTACAATTACCTAACCAACTAAAACTAATAACATATGTTATTAAATAAAATAATGTATATTTATTATGTCCTTGTGTATAATCAGGGTCCACATTCTGCAGAAGAATCGCATACAAAGTTTGTAGCTTTCTGATATTCATCTTTCAGCGTGTTTCTCATTTAGGGTTGTTGAGCTGAGATGCTTTAGTGCAATAGGCTGTCTTATCACCTGCTTACATGAAGTATTTAACCTTTGTTTCTATCTGGCTTCGATTTTTCTATCAACTGCCTCAGGACATTATCAGAATTTAAGGAACTTAAGTCTACTCGTCTTACTGAGAATTAGTGAAAGCACAGAAGATTGAGGAAGTGGTATGACATAATGTTATTTATCTGCGCTATATTGTGGTTTGTGGATTGTAAACAGTAGCAATAGTATTAATTTCTATAATGGCTTTTTTTTTTTTTTTAAATACAAAAAGCTGTTATCAAGTCTGTTATTTTTCCTCATATAAAAGTCTGTATAGTGCATGTCAGCTGTAGCATGCTGTGTTTAGTATACAGATCCAGGGCCTTCGTATGAGCCGTACCATGCTGTGTCTAATATACAGATGCAGAGACTTCATATGAGCTGTACCATGCTGTGCCTGATATACAGATCCAGAGACTTCATGTCAGCTGTAACATTCTAAGCCTGATATACAGATTCAAAGAGACTTCATACCACTGCAGCATGCTGTGTCTAATGTCAGGGCTGTCTTCAGAAATCATGGGGCTTCTTACAAATCAATTTTGTGTGGCCCCGTTGGCACACAACTGCAGATCTGGCTGCACCCAGATACAAACTCACAGACACACATTCCCAGAAATACCCACTCACAGACCCACATTCCCAGAGATACCCACTCACAGACACACATTCCCAGAGATACCCACTCACAGACCCACATTCCCAGAGATACCCACTCACAGACACACATTCCCAGAGATACCCACTCACAGACCCACATTCCCAGAGATACCCACTCACAGACACACATTCCCAGAGATACCAACTCACAGACCCACATTCCCAGAGATACCCACTCACAGACCCACATTCCCAGAGATACCCACTCACAGACACACATTCCCAGAGATACCCACTCACAGACCCACATTCCCAGAGATTCCCACACACAGATACATTCTCACAGATGCTCAGCCATTTCCAGACTAATACAGACATATGCATTCACAGACACACACTAACACACAAATTGTCACTTCCAAACTCACACAAAGAAACATTGATATACAGTTCTACACGCAAAAGCACATTCCCAGACATACATTGCCTCGCACACAGATACATATTGACATGCATATGAATGCACACTGCCACACACAAACATGCACACTGCCACGGACACAAACACAAAGTCCAAACACAAGTGGAGACAGCCAAAACACACAGATACACATTTCCACACTAACTGATGCACACATTGATATACACATTGATGCACCCACTACTGCACACGCACAGCTATACACTACTATATGTATATTTTAACCAGCATTTAGCTTACATGCCTTTTGCATGCAGGAATGGGCTTCGCTGGGGGCAAGTGAGAGTTCCTTCAAAAGGCGGTCTGTGTTCTTTTTCCTGCCTGGCTCTATGTGTGCTGTTATCACTATCTCTTGTTTGATCACTGCCACATGAGGACCAAGTTGCCCTGATCAGAGGCCAGATTGTTCTAATCCATGCCGCGTTGTTCAAACCAAAATCTAAGTAATTCCACCTGGATCAGGGGTCAAGTTATTACAGTCAGGGTATAGCTGTCCCAGTTAGGGGCCCCAGTTGAGCCTTGCTTTTACATGTGTTGCTTTAAATATACTTGTGGCTGTGTAAAGTCATTGCAGACTATGCACATGTCATGTCCATGTTTCAGACATGTAATTTCACATGCCATTAATGAACTTCTCATCAGCCATGCTGCCTTCACATTCCGCTGTCAGACCTCCCAGAGCTTGCAAATATTATATCTAAATAATGAATTTCATCTTCCATTATAATTTAGTGATAATCTAAATAATGTATTATTACTGCTTATCACACATGCTAGAAGATAATCATCAATAGGGGACAATTGTGTAATTCTTTTAATGAAAGGCCCCACACTCTTTCCTTCTCGTTACCATGGATGGAATAAATGTATCTAAAGTAATAAGAGCAAAATGGTTTTCAAATACAGTTGCAAGAAAAAGTATGTGAACCCTTTGGAATGATGTGGATTTCTGCACAAATTGGTCATAAAATGTGATCTGATCATCATCTAAGTCACAACAATAGACAATCACAGTCTGCTTAAACTAATAACACACAAAGAATGAAATGTTGCCATGTTTTTATTGAACACACCATGTAAACATTTACAGTGCAGGTGGAAAAAGTATGTGAACACTTGGATTTAATAACTGGTTGAACCTCCTTTGGCAGCAATAACTTCAACCAAACGTTTCCTGTAGTTGCAGATCAGACATGCACAACGGTCAGGAGTAATTCTTGACCATTCCTCTTTACAGAACTGTTTCAGCTTCAGCAATATTCTTGGGATGTCTGGTGTGAATCGCTTTCTTGAGGTCATTCACAGCATCTCAATCGGGTTGAGGTCAGGACTCTGACTGGGCAACTTCAGAAGGCGTATTTTCTTCTGTTTAAGCCATTCTGTGGTTGATTTACTTCTATGCTTTAGGTCATTGTCCTGTTGCAATACCCATCTTCTGTTAAGCTTCAGCTGGTAGACAGATGGCCTTAAGTTCTCCTGCAAAATGTCTTGATAAACTTAGGAATTCATTTTTCCTTCGATGATAGCAATCCCTCCAAGCCCTGACGTAGCAAAGCGGCCCCAAACTATGATGCCCCCACCACTATACTTCACAGTTGGAATGAGGTTTTGTTGTTGGTGTGCTGTGCCTTTTTTTCGCCACACATAGTGTTGTGTGTTTCTTCCAAACAACTCAACTTTGGTTTCATCTGTCCACAGAATATTTTGCCAGTACTGCTGTGGAACATCCAGATGCTCTTGTGCAAACTGTAAACATGCAGCAATGTTTTGTTTGGACAGCAGTGGCTTCCTCTGTGGTATCCTCCCATGAAATCCATTCTTGTTTAGTGTTTTACGTATTGTAGATTCGCTAACAGGGATGTTAGCATTTGCCAGTGACTTTTGTAAGTCTTTAGCTGACACTCTAGGATTCTTCTTCACCTCATTGAGCAGTCTGCGCTGTGCTCTTGCAGTCATCTTTACAGGACGGCCACTCCTGGAGAGTAGCAGGCTGAACTTTCTCCATTTATAGACAATTTGTCTTACCATGGACTGATGAACAGCAAGGCTTTTGGAGATACTTTTATAACCCTTTCCAGCTTTATGCAAGTCAACAATTCTTAATCGTAGGTCTTCTGAGAGCTCTTTTGTGCGAGGCATCATTCACATCAGGCAATGCTTCTTGTGAAAAGCAAACCCAGAACTGGTGTGTGTTTTTATAGGGCAGGGCAGCTGTAACCAACACCTCCAATCTCATCTCATTGATTGGACTCCAGTTGGCTGACATCTCACTCCAATTAGCTCTTGGAGATGTCATTAGTCTAGGGGTTCACATACTTTTTCCACCTGCACTGTGAATGTTTACATGTTGTGTTCAATAAAAACATGGCAACATTTCATTCTTTGTGTGTTATTAGTTTACGCAGACTGTGATTGTCTATTGTTGTGACTTAGATAATGATCAGATCACATTTTATGACCAATTTGTGCAGAAATCCATATCATTCCAAAGAGTTCACATACTTTTTCTTGCAACTGTAAATCAGAGGTGGTGGCTATATTATTATTTTCATTTATATAGTGCCAACTTATTCCACAGTGCTTATACAACGTACACCCTCTGAATCCTAACTGTCCTCCAACAATTCTGGGATTCTTCATCCCCAATGGATTTGATAACAGTAAAATAGTGCCCTGCCACTCTCCCCTCTCTATTGTAAAGAGTCAAACCATTCTAGACTTCTGCCGGGCACGGCTTCCCGCCTACACTACAGCTCACTGCAGGACTTAACTCAGAAGAACAGAAGTTCCATCTCTCATTAAACTGTAATGGAGGTGGGGAGCGGTGCCTGGCATATCCCAGGTAATGAGTTATACAATAATAAAACAGTTTGTCTTACTTACAATAGGGGGGGTACTGGGGCACTTCTGGCACCATAACCTATCTGTTATGTATTATGTTGCCCTCTCTGCATTTCCATTTGCTTGTCACTGGACAAGTACAATATAAAAATGAAATTATTTAAACATTTGAACATGCCTGAACACGATAAGTTTTTGGTGTTTTCATTTTTTTTTTTCATTTTCTGAAATGTACAATTGTTTTTTTGCTCATGTTGCAGTTTCTAATTTAGTTTTCACTTCTAGAAGAAAATTAACGTGGAAGAAAAAAAAGACATTTGAGCTTGATGAAAATGTGTTAACCACATCCTTGGTCCTCAGATATTAATATTTTGCTGGAACCACATGTTCTTTGACTCATAACATACATAGTTACCTGCATTGATATAAGCTGATATAGCTTTTTTTTTTATTGCGCGCTGAGGTGGGGGCATATTATTTTTCTACCATTTCCAGTGCTATCTAATTTCTGTTGCTTTTTTTTTGTTTTGCTTTTTTTTTTTTAATTAACTGAAAAACTAATTATGTTCTACAGAAAAAAAAATTGAAAGAACACACAATCATTAACAAAGCTTACTGCTGGATAATTGCATACTTCCTATAAAATTAGACCCTAAAATGTTGCAGACACATGCTTAATGCATGGGAGAACTATTGGCTGTATTAAAGAAACACTCCAAGCACCATAATCACTACAGTGAAGAGAATATCTGATACAGAGAAGCAGGACCCCAGCACACCATCCCCCGTTATAAGTAGTCAAAACTATTTGGTTTGATTTCCGGGTACGACCCTGCTTCTCCAGCCAGAAGCTTCCTTCACTGCTTTTCCCCTGGATGAGCGGGGCTTAGCTCATTGGCTGAGGGCAGTCCTCTCATGCTCTCAGCCCATGAGCTATCCCTGCACCGCAGAACTCAGAAGAGTTAACAGAATCTCCTAACAGGAACATCGAGCTCTCACTCCTGAATGCAGGGATTGGTATCTGGTAGGCTCCATGTAAGAAGTGAAGCCGTTAGCAAACAGTTTAACTACTTACATTAGGGAGCGTTAGGGCAATGTTGGCACCATACCCAATACAGCATGCTATAGTGGTTCCGGTGTTTGTGGTGCTCCTGTGATGTGGTTTAGTGGCTGTAGCACTTCTTGGTAAAGTTTCACTCTTAATTTAGTTTTTCATCTTAGTTCTCGTGTTTTGTGCAAGACTTACTTTGTTACTGGCAACTGACCAGGGAAGTTTCCATTTTAAGCCGAAGAAAGCCAAACTGGAAACCTTGGTTTGATATCTTTTTTTATCTCACAAAATTAGAAACCCTTGTCAAATCACAATTGCAATTTCCTTTTGCTCCCAACGCTTTAAGATACATTTTATGGAGGATGCAAGCATACTATGCTAAATAATTTCCTTCACTCCAATAGAAAATATGCAAATAGTTAAATTATTAAAGTTCACATTCTACAAGGTATAAATATCAGAACCCTTACTGAGACTATTCCGTTATTACTGTAGCTGCAATGTACTCAGATAGGAAGGATTGCTGTAAACCAGCATGATGACAGAGCTAATAACCGTGTGGCTGATAAAGCTGTGGATTTAATTAAACTGACTGGAACCGTAAGCAAACTAAAATGGTTGAGTGTTCCCAGTAAACCTTGTAGTGACTTCTAATTCAATTAGAGAAATGGCTTTGAGCAGGGATTTTCTGCTCCAGCCCTTAGAGACCATCAAAGGTTCATGCTTCCTGAAATCCACAAATGCACACTGGATAATGAGCCACTTGCCTAATATTTGCAAACAATCTCCAGCGTTCTGTTTCCTAAACTGCAATGTTGCTTAGAGCCTGGGAGATGGGGGGAGGGGAGCATAGTATAATGGAGTAGCAAACCCTTTGCAAAACATAATGACATGTATAACTGCAAATTATCAGTAGAATGAAGCTTGGCAGTCCCTGTATAAATACACTGGCTAGAGGGAGACAAATAAAGTACATTTCAGGTTTTAGTAGCCTTC